TATATATATATATACATATATATATATATATAATTTGAAAAATGTGAAAATGTTGATGCCAATTATCTCTCTTCTTAAATGAAACAGAGCAAGTAAGGTACTTTCCCATCCTAGTCATTTTTGCTGTTTTGAAAATATCTTTGTCATCTAAACAGATTAAGAAAATATTTAATTCATGGATTACTTTCTCCATTGAATAGTGAGTTATTAACAATACTAAAACTAGTTTAGGCAATTAAAAGCAAAATAAAGCATCACGTAGTCCACAAACATTTTATACCTGATATTCTTACAGTCTGTTTATGACATATCAGTTTGTGACATTGCATTTTGTGTCCCTAGTAAATAAAGAGCCAAATGAAAAAGCACAGTTGAAACTAGCATCACGAGTTTAATATATTTTAAAATATAGAAACATATTTAAACAGCACATTTAAAGAATAATATAATAGACTTCCATTTCTTACTCTTACAATGGTACACCATTAATTAAAAAATATATTACTTAATGCACCCCAATATAGTTATTATCAAATTTTCTTTAAGATAAACTGTATTTTAAAACAACATTGCTTTATACCTGAATTACAAACAAACCCATAATGTTTTTGAAGCTATCTATGGTATAAATTTTATTTTAAAGGCCCAAAAGAGTAATTAGTAAGTGGTGCTTTATGACTATTTTAGATCAACTGTAAATAAGCCTAACCGCAGAGCCACCATAAATACAAGCCTAGTTCAGAAATACTGCAGTTTCAGTTTCAGGCCATGACAACAAAGTGAATATCACAATAAAGCGAGCCAAATGAAATGTTTGGTTTCCCAGTGCATATAAGAGTTATGCTTGCACTATACGTGTGCAATAGGATTGTGTCTAAAAAATAATGTATACACCTTAATTAAAAAACCCTTTATTCCTAAAAAATGCTAACCATCATCTGGTGGTTGTGATCACCAATCACACATCACCATAACAAATATAAAAATGACAAGGTTTGAACTACTATGAGAATTAACAAAACGTGACACACAGAGACAGGAAGTGAGCAAATGTTGTTAGAACAACGGGGGCCATCGACTTGCTCCATGCAGGGTTGCCACAAACCTTCAATTTGTAAAGAAAGCAGTATCTGCAAGCACAACACAGAGAAGCGCAATAAAATGAGGTGTGCTTGCAGCAAGTTACCCATCTAAATGGCATTTTCCCAAAAGTCAGTGTGTGTTAAAGAACAGCCTTAAAAGGCATAGAGAGAAACAGAGAAAATAAATTAATTTCAGAGGGAAGAACATACATGCACATACATACAACAAAACCTTCTCTTTTGGAGTTACTTGTGCTTGGAGGAAAGTTTACAAAATCCCCTTACAAAGTAAGGTTTTCCTTGAGCTCATTCTCAAAGATATGAAAAATGGATTTCAGCTGTTCTTTCAAAATGGCAATTCTGTCAAAGCCATTCTGGGATTTTTGGTAATTTCCTCCAGTTCAGTTTCAGTGCTTTCACCCTAAGTAAAGTCCCTTGCATCCCATCAATCAGCAACCTCAGCTACATAAAGAAGAGCTAAAGAAAATGGCTGTGTCGGCATCCTCGCTCTCGTGTCTTTTATGCATGTAAGGTCTGTGGGGAGGGAAGTGGAGAGCATGTAAATGTTTCTTTATTTTGGACTGTTTTAAAACTGAAAAAAAAATCTGCAGCAGTAGTGTTCTAGATAATAGGCAGACATGATTTATTTGAGGTAAGAAGGTTGTACTACCATTTTTTAGTGTTAACTTGGAAAGTTACGGACACAGGCTCAAGCCTGTCTTCACAGAATTCCTGTAGCTTTGAGCTTTGAGCTCTTTGCAAAATCTACAGTCCACAAGCCAGGAAGGAGCACGCTCCTACACTTACACCAGTTCTGTTAGAGCAAACAGTTATAACAATTATGTGCAATCTTTCAGCTTCCGTTTTCTGCCTGCTGTTTATTTATTCAAATCCAGTTCCACAGTTCACTTTATCTAATGAAGCAGAGACTCTAAAAGAAAAATTATGTTTATCCAAGCATTCTTGTTCGGGTTGTTACTTTTTGTAAGTTTTATTCCTAAATCAATATCCTATCAGTTTTCATTGGCACAACATAACCAAATGCATTCATTTCCTTTAACCATATTTAACATGAGAGTTCTAATTTCAGAAAATTAAAGAAGATGTGTATTAAAGAAAAATGGTGAAATGGAATTGAATTGGACTTAGCATATCCCATTGAAAGTTAGGCTGGGTGATCTATTGTATAATGTACTAACTATAAAATAGATTTTATTGATAAGGCATCCACAAAAAAGAATATAATGCCTTTAAATAAATAAAAGGGACTATATACATGATATTGTACATAGGTAGAGAGATGAAATGAGTCAGACTAATTTTATGAAATTCCCCTTTTGTCTGAAAGTAACTTTTATTGTAGTCATAAACCTTAATACAGATCTTTTCCTTATCATCATTATTATTCAATATTAATGGCAACCACATGAGCGCACTACCATATTTCTGTATTTTTTCAAAATAACATTGGAACTGTCATCAAAGTACAGCACAGAGATGGCATTTAATTTGGTTGGAGCACAACAAGGCTTTGGTACGTGGTCAGGAAACATCAGATGAACCTGGGAAAGAAAAAAATGTTTCAGTTTTTAAAGAAATAAGGTAGATATTTTCTCTACAGCTTTAAAATGATATGCTCCTTTCATCACTCAGAACCAGGCACACCCTTAAGCTCCCACCCTTCTCCTATTTATGCTCCTGGCTAAACTGGGGATAGGTGGCTGGTAGTGAAGGATATATTCTGAAGCATTAACACCTAGAATTAACCCACCAGTTCTAATTATGTGTTGGGGCCTTGAAAAATATTCTACCAAGTAAGGAAAACTCAGTCTCTGGAATATTCAGTGGAAATTTTCCTGGGGAAAAGAAAATGGCAACTAGCACTGAGTTGTTTTTGATCAAAATGAGTACTTTCATTTACTTCAGGAGAAATACAGATGTGGTAAACACTCATCAATGAAACTACACTATTGGTCTGAAGAAAGATTTGGAGCCAAGAATTATTTTGTAAAAGGATAAACAATAAATCATAGAACAACTCTTCATTTTCCCTGATGAAAGAAGCATAGAACTCACAGCAAAAGAAACTCCAGGTATAATCCAAAACTTGTTTTAAAACAATGATTTTAACTCATCTCCATAGATTTTTTTACCAGACTGGCTGCAGCTGAATAGCCTAGTACTTTCTTTCTCCCCTAGACAAGTGCCAAAGAAGCAGGCTAAGCTAAATCAGAAGCAAAGAGCCTAGATACTTGGCAAACTGAATATCCATCTTCCCCCAAATCCTAAAAACATGGCTAAACATGAAAAGTGAAATGCTTAAGTAAAAGGTTATTCTCATCTTGATCAGACTGGCAGTCTGCCGATGATTTGCAATAATCGAGCAAGGAGCCAGAATATGGTTCCCCCTTTTCCAACCACCTACCCTGGCCATTCCCCCACAGGAGTTTATGGCAAGTCCCACTGATGAGTCCTAAGGGATCTACAGAAAGCAAATACAGCCTCTTAGAGTTTTGGCTACACAGTGTCCAGGCTGAAATGATATAGGAACCCTGCATGTGGACAGAAACAGCAGGAAAAATGAGGTGATCTGACATAAACTTGAAATTTCCTAAGACCTCACAAAACTAAAACGTTAGATAGTTTTTACAAATTTCAGATGCAGCTTATGTCCCTCATCAGCTTTATCTTCCGTAACCCACACATACATGATTGATAACCCCCTGCTTCAGTGGCCTTGGCAGCCTCACGGAGCAACTGCTCCAGAAAAATGGATTGTTCTTGAATGGTTTCTCAAACATTAGTCACAAACATGCTTTCTTTTAACAAACATGCCTGTCTTCTTGTTTTATGTCCTTCACAGAAGAGACATGGAGCGTGTACAATGCCAGGAAAAAAAAACCTTCAAACCTCCCATGCATGCTTCAGGTTTAGTGATGACTTATGTCCTACATCCCAGGACAGAGATGCACAGCAGGGTCTCGGGCCAAGTGCATGTCAGGTTTTTAAAAAGTGTTTGTGCTTTGACACTGCCTTCTAGACTGCAGCCCTAAGAACTGACGATGCGTAACTATGTAGTTATAAGAAAACAAGAAGAAAAGAAAAATGAGAGAAAGGGGGAGTATTTGACCAAGAGTCTTTTTTCAATAAGTATTGCTTAGTCTAAGGGAATTGTTGATACATCAGATACATATCTAACAAAGCAGAAGCCTGCTTTCTGAGTCATCGAGAGGAGAGTATCAAGAGCAAAGAATTTTCTAAGAAATTAAGTGGTATTTCTCTGTAAGCGAATCGTGGCAGTTCCTCTGTGACCCTGCAGAATGAGGGTGATCATGGCTGTTGCTACAAGGCGTGAAACAGCAGCCCTCCCCTCTGGTATGGGCTTTCCAGTCAACCCAGACAGAAGGCTAGACAACAAGCCCATCCTTGTAGAGCATATCTGCTCCCATCTCCCATAAATAATATTCTGTATCAAGAAGAGCTCATATTTATAAATAGCAAATATGAAGGCATATCAGACCTTAAAATTCCCCCTGGAGTTTACTATATACTGTGTGTGGCACAGAAGTAGGCAATCTCATGGATCAAGCAAGAGTCAGTAAAAATGACTGCCTTTCAAACTGTCTATTTGTTTTAGCTCTCTGTGTCTCTTTACTCCAAGACTGTTTTCAGAATTTTTAGCAATGCCCACGCTCCAGTTGCCCTAGGTGTCTGGCTCTTCTGCAGTACCTCTGAAGGCAGTGGAGATACCAGCAGAACATCAAGTCATTCAAAGATGGAATCTGTCCATTTATATACACTATTCTTTATTCAGAAGGGCACTGAGGTACTCTTTTCATCAGCTTTAAATTTTAAGTTAATTTTGAAAAAAAGTAACCTTCTGGAGAGTCACTTCCTTGCCAATTCTAATAGTTACTCTTTGTGTTGGTCACAAACAAGCCTCACGCACAGAGATAGATACTTTTCCTAATGGCTACCGCTCTCCTGTGGCCCATCAGATGCCTCCACTCCCATCATCAGGTCTGGAGTCTGACCTTACTTGGTCCCTTCCTTTTCTCCTAATTACATATAGTTAAAATGTTTATATTAACCCAAATATTAATTTGGAATTATATCACATAGTCTATTGCACCTGCTAGGAGCCTCTCGATTTTCCAGAGGTTGTCCCTTGCCACATCAATAAGTCACACATCATAAGGCAGATACATCATCAAACTCTCAAGGTTTCATGAGCACATTAGATGCAGCACAATCATTTAGAGACCATGAAATCAACATTTCATTGTCTTTTCACAAAAACAAGCCGAATTTATTAGAGATAAAATCACTGCTAAATTCCTGAATGTGGAAGGAAAAAAAATGAAGATTAATTCCCACCAGAAAAAGGTATCAAGAAATAGAAATGAGTCTTCTACTTGTATTCTATATTGAAGAACTTTCATAATACCAAAGCATGTCATGGAACATTGTTAAAAAATTAGAGCAAAAGTCCTCCACTGAAATTCAGTACAGCTATTATTTAAGGTTTTTGCAATGATTACTAAGGAATTACTAGGTCAGAAAAAGCCCTTGAAACCTGGATGGTTAGTTCTATCGCCTAGTGAAGAAATCAGGGCAGAATGACCACTTAATGTGATCACTCCAATTTTCTTAGCCAAACCCTTCCCCATCCTGGAATCAGGATTATTTTTTCTTACTGGGCTGAATTTCCTGACTCTACCCACAATTGTTATTTGGGCTTTAACAAGTACCAAAGGAGTTTGAGAAGATAATGCATTGGCAACGATAAATAGATGCTTTCTTGTAAAATAACTTTGTCTGATGTTTGCATCATGAACCATTTTCAGTCCTACAAAAACAAAGCATACCAGTGTCTGAACTATGGCATGGTTGGTGGCATTCATATGGGCATTGAGTGGAAAAGAACATTCTCCATCACAGTAAAATGCAGCATATCCTTCCGGTGCTATAATCCAATCCTAAAATGCACACACACAAAAAAGAAGAAAATAGTATCACCAAAATAAAAATAGGGGAGAATAATTCTTAAAGAATACTCAAATACATTTAATCTGGATAGGTTTCCCTTCTTGGTCCAACAATTATTCTAATAGGACAGCCTCCCCCAAGCCCTTAATTTATTTTTAAGTCAAAGTTTACAATAAAAGCATAAATATTTTCACAAGAAATTGTCCTCTGTAATTTCTCCCAAGAGGTTGTTCTGGAGGATATTCATAGTAGGTATTAATCCATGTATTCATGAATAAAACGATAATCATGAAATAGCATTCTAAGTATTGTTTAAACAGGAAATGATGAACTTTGGAAAGTTCAAGTGAAGCAGAAAGGAAAAGAAGTCTGAACTTAATTGAGATAATTCTGATTACTTTGTAATAACTCATTCCTGGTTTTAGAAGCTTGACAAACTTCTAAAAGTTCAGTATTTGTTCCTTGTGCTGCTTTTCTTTCCACTCATGCATTAGCTTTATAGTCTTTTTAGAAGAAATGAATTAAAGCAAGTTCCATGAAAATATTTAGGAAGCTAAGAAATTGGCACATGGAATGGTTGCCTCGAATTTTTTTCCCCCAAGAAGTAAAATTTGGTCCAAATATAAAATTATTGAATGGATCATATTGAAGGTTTATCCTAAAAATTGAAAATGTTTACATTTTCATATGCTCATTACAACAGTTCATATTCTGAGAATCCATTGTAAAGGGGTAATGTAATCTAAAAATTTTAATTTAAACTATTACTACCATTAAAAACTATTTTGGTTATATCCTCTTCACCCTGTTTGTGAAGCATGTGTAAAATACAGCAATAAGGTTTTTGAATGCAAGAAAAAAAGTTCTTTTGTAGCTCTGGCTGATGACAGACATCACGGTCAAGGATTCTCTTTCCTATAATATAGGATCACAAGGCACAAATGGAACCACTCAAATTAATCTGAAAAATCGGTATTAGAATTAAAAGTTTGAGATATTTAAACATCAACTTTTTTTACTTTCTAAATTTCATAGGGTTACATTTCTCCTTCAGCATAGTTGTTTTTTACTGTAAACCCTGATAATTACGTTTCAATGGTGAAAAGATAACAGAGAAATAAAAATGAGATGGATCATTTATATACTGAATATTTGTGTCAAAAATAACTGGTTGTGATATTGGAAAAAATACTGACAAAGATTGTAATCACTCAGGATTTATGATGAAACAGAAAAAAAACTCCTAAGTTGATTGACTATTCTTACCTGCCATCCCAGATCCCGGAAACTCACATAGAGTTCATGCTTCTTACAGGCTTGTTTTTGTTCACTTGTATTATAATCTGAAGATAAAAATCAGATTTTAAACACATGGCAGCTTATCAGATACATATACTAATATTTTTATGTGAGATCACTGATAAAAATAAAAAAGAGGCTGTGTTTGAAACTGTAAAATAGGAGTCTGAATCTTAAAGCTGGAGCTTACTAACTGTGTGAACTTCAGGCAAATCATTTGTCGTGAGTTTTTCTTCTGTAAAATATAGACATTATCATATACCTCGTAAGGTTCTAACAGTGATTTAGTTAGACCCCTGTGTGATGGTGCATAGCCTGATGCTTGCCTCTCATCACATACTACCTAGTCAATGAATGCTCGTTCTTTGATTCATTCACACGATAGTGGTACTTAATAGACTTACATATATTAAATATTCATATGACATTTTTAACATGTCCCATGAGGCAGATACTGGAATCTTACTGACCTGATTTTATTTGAATAAATATCATAAGCTCAGGATACTCAAAATTGATCTTTTGATTATCCCCCCAAACCTGCCCCACCCGTAGACATCTCCGTTCTGGACTGATGGCAGCTTCATCAGCCAAAAAAGGAGAGAGAGAGTGAAAACACTCTCCATTTTTTTTTCTGCCTCCCACATCCAATCTGTCGAAAGTCCTACACATTCTACCTTCAAGTAGGTCTGAAATTAACCCCCCTCACCAGCTCTATGACTGTTCATATCCCAAGCCACTATCATCTTACTGACTCAAGATCTCCTACTTAAGGTTGATTACCCTGAAGATTGCAACTCCCACGGCAATATTCCTGATCTCCCTCACTTTAATCATTTTTTTTCCATTTTACTTTTTATCTTTTAATATAGTAGGCCATTGCCTCACTTATTATATAAATTACATATCATTTATTTATTATATAAATAATACAATTTATAAGAATATTATATATTCTTGTCTGTTTCTTCACACTAAAAAAGTCAGTTTCACAGATCAAAAATCTTGCTTAGTTCTGTTTGATTCGCTGATATATCCCAGTACAATGACTGGTACATAGTAGGTACTCAATAAATCAGTTCCTCAGAGTGTTCCACAAATGATTTGAAGCAAAGGAAGTACATTATATCCATTACATATTTTGGAATATAATCTGAAAAACCCATAACCCTGTTTCAAAGAATTAAGGATAAATAGGGACCTGTAACCTTGTACCTGGACTAAAATAGAAAATAATTCTATGTTGTCTTCTTTGAAGTTTATGACACTTTATACCAGTAGCAATCTGAAAGCTAACCCATTTTGATTATATTCAATATGAAAGATGAAAGAGGGAAAATTTTAGGGCAAGAGAGCCAGAAAAGTAATTTGTTTTCAAAGAAGACAGCTAATTTTTTTCTTCTAGGATAAATGCTGCATTCACTCTGTTGTCTCTGGCAAATAGTGTAGCAGCTTATTATGCAGACAGTCTGACTTAAAGTGTCACCCTCCAGTTTAATTATCCTCAACTTTACTGAAAATATAGCCAGACCAAAGATCCAAGGGACCTGTCTTAGCAGCCCTGTCACCTGCTTTTCACAGTTACTTCAACTAGTTATTTATTTAATGTCTGTCTAGAAAACAAGATGACGATTACATTTTGAACTTGGAGAATTTTTCCTTCTACATCAGTTATTCTTACTGCATAGTTACCTTCATTAAAACAAATCAAGTATGTGCTTAATGACAGAGAAAGGAGGAAAGAGAATTTATTTGAAACTCAGCGATCTTCCTTGGGTAAAGTTCTCCCTTAACCAGAACAGCCCAGGGAGTGAACTCTGTCCAGGCACCGGGCAATTGTATGAGAACGTTAAGGCATAACAGTGTCATAACATGAAAGCACTAAGTTTGATTGCATCAACTTCTTGATATTTAGATTTTAAAAAATTACTCGCTATGCATTAGACCAGTATCAGGAAACTTTTTCTTTAAAAACACAGATGGGAAATATGTTTAGGTATGGGGTCTCCCTTGCAACAACTCAGTTTTGCCACTGTAGCATGAAAGAAGCTTTACACATATGTAAAGGGATGGATGTGGCTAGATTCCTATAAAACTCTATTTTGGATGCTAAAATTTGAATTTCACAAGATTTCTACATGAAGCATAATCTGATTCTTCTTTTGAGTCTTTGTCAAACATTAAAGTAAAAAACATCCTTAACAACTGGATCATACAAAAGAAGGCAAAGGGACTTGCTTTCCCAACCCCGGCACTAGACAATAATGGGAATATATTTTCATTCTTTCCTGTCTTAATTAAAAATGTGAAATATGAATAAAAACAATAAAAACATTGTAGTTAATAACACATACAGGAATATGTGAAAAGCCATAAACTACATATATGGTTATTTGAAATCCATGTTTATAAAAAAAGAAAGTAAAATTTAAAAGTCAAATAGAACTGTTCCATCTATGCAGCTTTTCATGCAGGCTAAGTGATGTATATAATGTACCATCACATAAGGGTAACGAGCAATGAAATTTATAACAGAATCTGGTTCCAAGACTCTGATTTCATAGAGCATTAGGACCCTATGCTTGTTCCGTCAGAAATAAAAATTAATAGATACTAAGTGAAGTAAACGTTGTGTCCAAACTAAAAGCAAAAGTCTGCAGTCAGGTTTACTATAATGGTTGGCAGAATAAAGTATGGGAGGAAGGGCAAAGAAATAAGACTTATATCTTTAAAAAATATTGATGGGCAGCCCTTCTGATAATCAAATGAAAATGGACATAGGACTACTATTGATAAACCAGCATATAAATGAAGAGTCATTCCAGAAATTACTAAAATGTTCCGGCGCCACAGCCAACACTGGAAAAGCATGCTAACATTCCTCAACACAATGCAGGTATTGTAAATGCAACATTTCTTTGTTTTGTCTCTAAATGGTAATAACATGGAGAAACCAGTGCCAAAATATTGAAAGTACTGTTAAACATTTTATGCAAATTTCCAAGGGTCTATTTCTGGGAACTGTGCAACTTTCATCTTTGTCTTCATTTAGAAAAAAATTATTCTGTCTTAGAAAAAACATTGTGAGCACAGAGTTCAAAAATAGTTTTAAAAAATCCAGAACTCTCCATAGGGCTTCAGTTGTCCTCTAGTCCCTGAAAAAAAAAAACAAATAAATAGACATGGGCTAGCCTAACTATGAAGGGGGCAAAAGAAAAGCAAGTCCAAACAATTCCAGAAATCCGTAAGGGTTTTTTTTTCTTTAAAATCTAGTATTAGCTTCTTTAAGGGATGAAATATAATATATATTTAAGAGAAAATTTAAAAATCCAAAGTAGAGTTTAACATTTAAGGCTGTCAACAGCTTAAATAAACCAAATAATGAAATACTGTGTTTCAAAGCAAAGGAGATGTTTGCCTTCTCCTGCTGTTATCCAAGGGAAAATGAGATAAAGGATGTCAGCACCTACACATCAGGATTTTAATCAGTTTGCGGAAAATGGAAATACCAAATGAATGAAGGTATAAGAGGTAAAGGAGCAGGAATGGTGTACAGTCAACTATTCAATAATGTAAATTTTTATAGGGCCTTGGGATTAAAGAAATTCATGATAAACTTTGCAGTCCTCTTCAAAGATGAGGAATTTCAAAAGGCTTTTGCTTCTCTAGTTTAATCGCCATCTTCCACATCCAGTGAATTCCTCACTTGAATTTATGCACGACCCAGTAGAATTGCTGCTCTTTATTTGCGTAGGGATAATGTTGTTTGTCTATGTACAAATGTGTGACACAGAACAGACACCACAAAATAATAACTATCTGGTGTGTTTGCTTAACTCTGCTTAGCAAAACCTCTATGTGGATGATCCAACTACCGTCCCCCTCAGAGTTCGTTGACATAAGAACCTGTCCACAAACCTGAATTCCCAATTGCCTGTCAGACATCTCTAAATGAAAGAGTTTCCCAGATGCCTCCTACGCACTATTTTTACTTCTGACCTCACATACCTTTGATGCTCACTATTTTGGTTAACAGGATTGCTAGTCATCTAGCGGCATAAGCAAGAAAATCTAGCAAGTTTCTTGATTTTCTTTCTTTCTCCTTCAGATCTTACATTAAATCCCTCCATCGGGCCCATTTCTAGTCTAGTTAGCCATTTAGAAGGCCTTTGCCCTCTTGACTATCTCATACTTCCTCCACATCCTCTTCTAGGAACTTTCTCCTAGGATAACAGTTCCTTCCTGTTCTCTTACATCTCTATGTTTTGTCTCTTATGGAATTGCTTTTTCCTGTACCTATGCTTAAAGAGCTAATGTTCCTACAGGAGGCTCCATCCTTGATGTTTTTCTCTTTGTTTTCTTGACCACGCTTCATCTAACAATGCGGGCTCATATCTGTATCTTTTCCAACACTGGCTACCAATTCTCAAGAGCCCCATTTCACCCATACCATCTGTGCTGGCCTCATCCCACATGGTTTGGTTTCTACTTCCACTCTCTCCATCTATAATCTTCATTGCTTGGAGTGCTGGAGTGTTGTGCTAGACTCCTAATTATTATCTGAGGTTTCAGTTTCCTTCCTTGGCATCCCATCTTTCACTCAGATACCAAACTTAACTTTTTAAAATGTATGTCTGCATAGAACATTCCTTTTTCCAATTCCCTACACAAAGACACCATAGTTCCTTACTATCACATACCTTACTCTTTGTGATTTGGTCCCTGCATAATTTTCTAGCTGTTTTCACACCTCTCACACAAGAATACTTGCATAGCCAGTCATTTGACACTGGTACGTGTCTCTATAATTGCACATCAGTCTGAAACAGCTTCATCTATCCTTCCATTTCTGGAAAATGTTTATACTTTCTCATCTAAGTCCTTCATGAAGTCTTCTGGGCCATACTTAGTACACTTTAGGTGCTCTATCCTCCTACTCGCACACTACCTTATATCTATGCTGATAAAATGGACCTCCTAATAATTACTAATGTGTATGTCTTTCCCATTGCCTGTGAGAATGCTTTTTAAGAAGCCAGGTCCT